GGGGGGGGTTTCAAGAACACCCCTGAGGCTGCAAGGGATGGCTGTAGTATTTGTCATGCACTGACTATACATGTCATCATTGTATTGCCGTAGCATCGCTAGTTCTATGCCTTACATACAAAATCTCTGTGCCCAGTAATAAAGTATCGAAGAAAACCTGTATGAACAAAATAAACAGCCACTTAAAGCTTGCTCTGCGGCGTTGCCGTGTACAACGACTGGTTCCGCTGCATCGCCTCCAGGGCCTCCTTCTCAATGCGCTGGAGCAGCTGTGCACAGGTGGGAATATCATGGATCAAACCAATGACTTGGCCGGCAGTCCAGACCTAAGAGGGAACGGTTAGCAAGGATTCGACACGTTTCCCTGGAAATACCGAAGGGGGAGGGAAAGACGAAGCAAAAACAGGATATACATACTCCAAAATCGACGTCACCGTTCAAGAAGACCTCCCTGCCCCTCTTGCCACTGACGAACGGGGCAACGTCGCTGAACTCTCCGGACTTGCTTTCCTTCTCCACCTTCAGGGCCTCCTTCGAGACCTTATTGGCGAACAGTCGGGTTGTGTTCTTCCACCGTCTCAGCACCAGGGCGGTGTCTGTCTCCTCGGCCTTCACGATGGCCTCCTTCACGTTGTGGTGGATGGGGGCCTCGATCGTGCACATGAACCGCGTGCCCATGTTGATTCCTTCGGCGCCTAGCGACAGGGCCGCGGCCAGGCCGTATCCGTCGGCAAATCCGCCCGATGCGATGAAGGGCACACCCAGATCCTGACGGGCGCGGTTGAGGAGGATGAAGTTGGTAATGTCATGTTCGCCGACGTGGCCAGCACACTCGAAACCGTCAATGGACAGGAAGTCAACACCCAGCTTGACGGCTGATTTGGCGTGACGGATGGTCGTGCACTTGTGCAGGATAGTGGTGTTGGCCTTCTTCAGTTGGGTAATCACTGGACCGGGGTTGTTTCCGGCCGTCTCGACAATCTTGACACCCTCATCGATGATAACCTGGGCGTAGGCAGCGTAGTCTGGGGGCACGAGAGCAGGGAGGAGAGTCAGGTTGACACCGAAGGGCTTCTTGGTCATGGAACGACATTTCCGGATCTCTTTGCGGAGGTCTTCAGGGGTTGGTTGGGTGAGGGCAGTGAGCTGGATAGTCAGCGAGATTGTTTCCATTTGCGTTCACATGTGATCGGACACGTACGATTCCCAGGCCTCCAGCGTTGCTGACGGCTGCTGCAAGTTCAGCGTATCCAACCCATTGCATACCACCCTGGACGACAGGAACTGCGAGCAATTAGTTAGGCACCAATATACCTGGGGGTAAATCTCTGGTACCTGTGATGCCCAGCTTTCTTGTTAGTGCAGTGTTGAAGCCCATTTTGTTCTTGTTCTAACCTTATGCGACCGAGATTGAGTGTATGTACTTCTAAATAGCGACCGACTCGACGGTAGCTCTAATGGTTGATATACACAGAAAATATATGATCTATCAGTGAAAGGGTATCACGAACAACAGGCTATTAAAAGAGTGGTCTTCGGATCAGCAAAGGAATGCGACTTCTTTGTACCCGCGGAGATTCTGCCGTGGGGAAGAGTTACCGAGGTTCGTGGCCGACCGACGGTCGGGTCGGCGAGATTACTATTCAGGACGGTTCCTGGGGAAGAACAAGAATGCGGGGGCGTGTCGCAAGCTGACAGCTGGGGAAATTATCCTTAGTGACCGATGACATGGCAGTATGTTTGCATAAAATGGGGTGATCCTTGCCATTGGTTCCCATTGCATGTTCAATGTTGTTGCAAATGCTATCCCCGCATGTGATACGCGGTGACTTTATGAAGTGTAGCACATGATTCCCTTCGCCACAGTCCCATGACTAGAGCCACAGAGAAAATGTACTATGAACAAGTGCTTGTATCTACTACTAGGTATACCATATCTATAACCTCAAGTGGATACGGTGTAACCCCGAAAATATGTATATAAATTCCTTATGGCTGGAGGAATTAGAACGCCATCAATGCATATAGGTATAAGTGAATGTAACCACAAATCAGCAAACATACCCTAACCCCCTTTTATTTTGCTCCCATTTGGCTAGCCAGCCACTGCTCGTGCAACTTCTTCTGCCTCTCCCAGTCTTTCCGAAGCTTCTTAGCCCGGCTCTTAGCGATCTCCTCGCCGGCCGCATCGCGGGTGGGGAGGCCCCCATCATCCCACGCACTATACTCGTTTGTCCGGAACATCTCCAGGTGGCTGAGCTTACCCTTCTGCAGCCTTTCCAAGGCCTCCTTCTCCTTCTTCTCCTTTTCTAGCTGCTTTTGCTGCGCCCGCTTGGCCTTCTCTTCCCGAGCCTGGATCAACTCGCGAGTCACCGGGCGAACGAGTGCAGGCAAGTTGTCTCGGTCTTCAAGATACACACCGACTTCGAACAAATCGATATCGCGAACACGATCGCAGAGTGCCAAAACCTCCTTGCTAATGTTATTCGATTCCTCAAGTGACGACAGTTTGTTGCGGAAATTGCTCAAGACGTCAGCATAAGGTTTCGTGGACTCTGTGACTTCTTCCTCAGGCAGAGCTTCACGCTCGACGATCTCAGCAATGGTCTTGGCGTTAACTCCTTCCTTCGCCCGTGCGGCTTGTCGCAGAGAGTCACGCATGGAGGACAGTGGGTGAAGGAAAGGCTTGGCCTCTTCCGGGACGTCAATGCCAGACCATCCAATTTCTTGGCTGTCGGCAGCAGTGTTACCGTTAAGACCGAAGATATTGACCATGGAGGTTATCCACCGGGCCACAGAATCAACGTCCTTGGGGTTCACAGTCGACTTGTCGGTGCTATTGTATTTCGTGATAAGCTCGGAGATGGCATACATGGCTCCCGGGGTGTTGAACGAGTCGCACAGGTGCTCATAGACAGTCTTCTGGGCATCCACCAAAGCAGTGGCAAGAGTATCATCCGCGCCAGAACCTTGCATGGCAGTGGTGTCCTTCATCTTGATGAAAAAATTGTTCACCTTCTCCTCCCACGAACTACCAGCGCTGACAAGGTCATCGGTGATTTCAACACCATCCTTCCAGCCACCCAGCAGGAACACAATTCTTAAGCTCCGTGGGGTCCACTCCTTCCTTTCTAAAGCCTCGCGGATAGTGGTGAAATTCTTAAGAGACTTAGACATCTTAGAGCCTTGGATGGACAGGTGTCCCATATGGAAGAAATAGTTAACCCACTGGTCGTCATGTGAATGGCTATGGCTGTCTGCCCAGTAAGCCTCGCTTTGCGCAAGTTCGTTGTCATGGTGAGGGAAAGCAAGGTCGACACCACCCGAATGGATGTCCATCTGCTTGCCCAACCGTGCGGAAGCCATGGCAGAACATTCAATGTGCCATCCGGGTCTGCCCCGACCCCAGGAGCTTGCCCAGCTGGGCTCACCAGGCTTCGAGGCCTTCCAAAGGGCGAAATCCGACGCAGATCGCTTGTCTGTCGCTTTCTTTGTCAACGAGCCTTCTCCTTCAGCCAACAGCTTGCTATCCGAACGGTTCCAGGGTTCCAGCCGGGCGTACGGGTGGCCAGCAGCCTCGAAGGCGTTAATATCAAAGTAAACAGAGCCATCGTCCGTAACGTAGCCAAAGTTATTCTTCACGATTTTTTCCACGAAATCAGCAATCTCTGCACCATACTCAGTTACTCGAGTGATTTCGGTGGGATCAAGGACGTTCAGATCCCGCATATCCTTCATGAACCGCTCCTCATATCTCTTAGTCAACTTGGTGAATATACCATGGTCGTCTGCATTGATCGAGGCTCCTTTCAATGAGTCTAGGTACGGTAAAAGGAGATCTTGAGCCTCCGTGTAGAACTTCTCCGCGAAGCCCTTGGGCTGCTCGGCCGAGCGTTCCGCCTCTGCAATCACCTTTGCTGCCGATGCAACAGTCTTGATGTGCATTTTGGCCTTTGCTTCATCGTCGCCGGCCTTTTCGTTACCCGGAAGGGGCCCTCCATTTAGCACAGCGGCGTAGGTCTTCTCTACTTCATCCTTATATTGAGACGCAGGCAGATCTGGGCTCAGCAACGGTAGGTTCTTCTTGAGGTATGCAGTGTATGCTTTTTTAGCAATGTCTAACACTTCGACTTCGATCGTAGGGTGCTCAGAGGCGAACTCCGTGAATAAGTGTTGCTGTCGGGCTCTAAGGATAATCTGTGACTCATTAGCGTCATGTTCGGCCAAGTCGCAAAGGCAGCCCGACGCGCGAAGGGCAAGGTTCATAGCGTACCTTGTCGTCAACGTCTGTGATATTCATGACAAAATTCACGTCAAACTTGAAGTAGTCACGCATGATACGCCGAATGATATCGGTGCTAACATAGTTTCTAGCGTGGCCCAAATGGGCGTCGTCGTAGACAGTCGGTCCGCACGCATACCAAGAAACTTTCTTGCCTTCCTTATCGATGGGAATAAAAGGGTTTTTCGAGCGCGTTAACGAGTTCCAAACTTTCAGAGGAGGTAGGCTCTTTTCGGCCTCAGGGTGGAGGGGTGGCTGTTGCCATTGCGGTTGTTGGCGCGCGGTGGCCATAGATCTGGATCTGGAGAGAAGGACCACGGGGTAAAAGAGCGACAATCGTTGTTTCGACCGATTAGTGAGGAAATGGGAGGCCAGGCGAGGGAGTCGGTGAGAGGTGAGGGGCATCAGGAACGGAGCTACAAAAGAGGGACAAATAATCCAAACTACGGGAGGGGTCACTACCTGGAGGCCACCTTGACAACCAACCTAAGTCAAGCATTCAATGGATGTGCCAGAGGTTGTCAACCAATAACACGCTGGATTTTCAATGCGGTGGGAGCATCGCCCTAATCCCCTAGCCCTGAGCCCTAATCATCATCCCAGTCGGGTCTAGATCGGTGACTGCCCCAGAATGATAGAAGCTTTTGAGCTCGTCCGAGATTTTGCGATTGCGAAAGGATATTGAAAGCGGCAACACCACACGCAGTCGCAATGCCTTCCCCCTTCCTAACCCCCGGCGCTCAGTCGCAACTCGACGGCCTTGCTCTTCTTCAACTCCGCAGAGATCAGACGATCCCGACGATTCTCCAACTCCATGACGAAAAGAACGCAGGGTATAAGGAAGGAAAAGTCACCAACACCCGCTTCGGCTCATTCCCGCATAGCACCCTTTGCGATCAACCATGGGGTTCACAAATCATCGCATCCAAGGTAGACACGGGATCCCGGGGCCGCACGCAGTCCAAGAAATTGAAGCGGAAAGCGGACGAGCTGGATTCGTCCACCCAGGCCGAAGAAGATAAGCCTTCTCCGCAGACCCCAGTAGCAGCCTCCAGCGGTTTCCTTCACCTCCTTTACCCTACGCCAGAACTGTGGACCGCATCGCTTCCGCATCGTACTCAAGTCGTTTACACACCAGATTATAGCTACATCCTCCATCGGTTACGCGCGCGTCCCGGAAGCACCGTAATTGAGGCAGGAGCGGGAAGTGGCTCTTTCACACATGCGTCTGTGCGGGCAGTATTCAATGGATATCCTTCAGATGATCAACCGACGAAAAAGAGAAGGCTTGGCAAGGTTTGCAGCTTTGAATTCCACGCGCAGCGGGCAGAGAAGGTTCGCGTGGAGGTGAACGAGCATGGCCTCGATGGACTTGTGGAGGTAACACACCGTGATGTTTATGAGGATGGCTTCCTCCTCGGGGACCCAAAGACGGGCAAATCTCCGAAGGCAAATGCGATCTTTCTTGATTTGCCTGCTCCTTGGTTAGCTCTTAAGCATCTCGTTCGCAACCCGCCCGAGGGCGCGGAGTCACCGCTTGACCCTACATCACCGGTGTATATATGTACATTCTCTCCCTGTCTTGAACAGGTACAGCGCACTATCAGCACACTCCGCCAATTGGGATGGTTGGGAATCGAAATGGTGGAAGTCAACAACCGCAGAATCGAGGTCAAACGAGAACGAGTTGGATTAGACTACGAAAATATCCGCGGAACAGTCGTCTTCCCAAAATCCGTCGACGAAGCAGTCGAAAGAACGCGCTCCCTTGAGGAACGCGCCCAAGTGTTCCGTGCGACTCAGAATCAAAGTGACGGCGACAGTACCCCTGCCCCTAAAGCTGGAAACGAAGCAAAGGACGGCGATTCTACCAGCAAAACTGAGACCGATACGCCTGCTCGCCAGCAAGTATCTGAGGTCCCAGTATATAAACAAGGTCGTGTGATGACCCGGTCAGAACTAGACCTCAAAAACCACACATCCTACCTAGTCTTTGCTGTTTTGCCTCGGGAATGGACGGAGGAGGATGAAAAGCGCTGTCGAGAGAAATGGCCTTCAAACCGGGTGCAGGAACCGCAGGGACCACAAAAGAGTAA